AGTTCATTGATGGGTCAGGGTGAGTGGGCAGTTTGCCTGTAACCGAGTGAGGGAGTACATCCTGCAGTTTGGCAGTTGGGGACAGCACATCCTGGGAACAAGATTAGCAAAGAGTTCACAGTTGGGGACAACACATCCTGGGAACAAGATTTTAACAGTGTTTTGTTAAGCATATAGAAAAACAGAGTGACAAGTACCTATTTTATTAACCTTTCAATGTCACTTATTCAATATAGCTTATGCTAATTTTCTCAGGAAAGAAGGTGGTATCCAACAGATCTCTCCATTACAGAGCTTCTGCTCTTATAAGTAAGTGATAGACATCACATCATGGTCTTTCAGGACTATGTAAACATCCTGCTTATGAAATCACTCACCTAACTGTTCTAGCTTTGATTGATGCTCCTTGCTTGAACTGATATCAGACGGAAGGCATTGTAAAATGATATTGCTGATTTTATTCCCTTTTGCTTTATGTAGTTTTGTCATATGGTTTCTCTCTCTGAAAATGTCACTGCTTGTTTTGGGACACAGTTTCCATTTTTTCAGACCAGCAGATTGAGCTAAGTAATTTCCATTGTGCCTTTCAGCTCCTGAATTCCTGCTTTGATTTGTCTTTGTTATTTCCAGGGCACAGCCATATGGACCTCACTGACATCAGTGCTCCATGACAACAAAGAATTCCCCCACCCAGAGATATTCGACCCTGGGCACTTTCTGGATGAGCATGGCAACTTGAAGAAAAGTGACTACTTCATGCCTTTCTCATCAGGTAAGAGAAATATTTGAGATCAGCTACTTCTTACCTGGTGCCTTGTGTGGTGTTAGAACATTTGTTCTTTACATGAGCAGAGCCCCATTGTGTTACCAATGTACTCTCCCTGCTAAGCTTTTCTTCTGTAAGGTCAATCTCATTTAAATATTCCTCACCCACTAAGTGAAAGGCATCTCACTCCATGATGCTGGTTGGTTTCTAAATGTTGTTGCTCAACACCCCTCTTGTTCCGCTGTGGTGATGGTAGTCTCCACAAGGATGAGATCACATAGCAAAGGGCCTCTAGGGAAGCAGCTTAGTGAATAACTGATTGTACTCTGGTGTGCTTAGTGTGCTGAGGTAGGGGAGATTTCTGTGTTGGCTGGCTTACCAGGATAGGCTTCCAGGATGTTGTAATATAATATTCCACTTGAGGTTTATAATGGACTTTGTGTCTTCATAATTAATGATGTTTGAGCTGACTCAAAAGAGTCACATAGAATGGAGAAAAGAAAAGGCAGGACATTTTTAAGGAAGCAATGAACCACCACAGAAGACCTTTTGTTCTCAGTCAGGAATGTCAGAAATTGCGTGATAACCACGAGCTTATGGAAGAATTGGGGATGAGGGAAGAGACCCTACAATGACCACAGAGCATCCTGCTCTTCCTTCAGTTATGGTTATGTGTCTTGGCTATTGAATCTCCCATCTGCAATGTGTTTACTGATTCTTTGCTCATGGACTCTCCTTCCTTGATTCCATGACTCTAGATGTCTGCCTTATATCTTGCACTGTACATCCCATGATGATAAGTCAAGGAACCACTCTTCAAGTCTCACATTTTAACAGGTTAGAAAATTAAGATGGACATGGAAAACTATGATTCCAGGTGTTTCATGGTTCCAAAAGAGCATGAGTATTATGTTGAGGATATCAAAGAGGGCAAGATTTAAGTGCTTGAGGGGATCATAAAGAGTGTAAAGAGGACATGAATTTTCATTTGTGTCCTGACTGGAATGAAGGGAACTTGTGTCTTATACAAGAAGATTAGCGTGATGTACAAGATGAACTTTCATGGTTCTTTGGGGTTTCAAACGATTCTGTTAGAGGTGAGATTAGAGGGTTGAAGAATGAAGGCAAGGTCATGGAACATCAGCATGGGAATAGAAAATACAAGTAACAGAGTTATTTAAAAAATTTTCTTTGGAAATTTCAATTTCAAAGTTTTCTTTCCGTTTTGGGATTTTTAATTAAAGTGTTTGTCACAAAGCTGATACTTCCAAAAATACTGTTTGAATGAAATATTTGTTAAGATGGACAAAAAGTGTCTGCTCTTTTTCCATTTGTCCATCCAAACATTCAATCATTCATTAAATGTTTATTTATATTCTCATTTTTATATAAGAAGCACAGTGCTTGTCACTGTCCAAATGTCGCATAAGCATATTGTGTTTTTTGTTTGTCACAGGAAAACGGATGTGTGTGGGAGAGAGCCTGGCCCGCATGGAGCTGTTTTTATTTCTGACTACCATTTTACAGCACTTTCATCTGAAATCTCAGGTTGACCCAAAGGAACTCAATAACACCCCAATAGCCAATGGATTAACCTCTCTTCCTCCCCTATACAAGCTCTGCTTCATTCCTGTGTGAAACAGAGCAGACCATGTGGCTGCTGCTGTGCTCTTGTCTGCAGTCCCTTCCCCCAGGGCATCGTCCACATCCTTTCCCCATCTGTGATGCATTCTTGACCTCTCCTCTGCATCTCCTCATTCTAGAGAGTAAGGGAGCACACATCTTGCTTTATAGAGTTTTTTTTCTTTCTGGTCATTGTACAGATATACCCGTTCTTTCCTGTGTTCTATAATACTTTTATTGATCACCCCAAGTAATAACATGGATCTAATGCTGAGTTATTGATACATTATCAGTGTAAAACATCATGGTCATTTAGAATATGATCTGTCAGAACTATCTATCCCATGCATGTTCTTAATAAAATACATAATTGATTTCTGGGTCAGTTCTCAAGTTTCTCTTCTTTTGTGCAGTATTGGTAAGAAAATAGAGTCCCAAGATTCAATTTGGTTCTCATAATGGTAGGCACAGTGAGGCAGTGGTCATTGAAGAAACCGGGGGAGATTAAAAAATTCATAGAAACAAATGAATATGGAAACAGAATCTATCAGAACCCTTGGGACACATCAAAACAGGCTTAAGAGGGAGGGTTATAGTTATAAGTGCCTACACTAGAAAAACAGATCTCCAGTAAATAACATAATGATGTATGTCACGAATTAGAAAAACAAGGAGAAACCCCATTCCAAAGTGAGCATAAGAAAAGGAATAATAAGATTTGACAAGAAATAAATGAAATAGAGATTGAAAACAGAGTATGAAGGATTAATGCAATAAAGGGTTCTTTTCTGAACAGATAGACAAAATTGAGGAACCTTTAGCCAAACTAACCAAAAGAAAGGGGATAACCAATTTTACTTACATCAAACATAATTAAGGCATATTATAACAGATACCACAGAAATCTGGAGGATCATGATGGAATGTTTTGACAGATTATATGTCCGTAGATTGGATAATGTGGAAAGTTCTAATCATAAGACCTACCAAAGTGGAACCAAGAAATTTTAAGAAGCCTAAATATATCAATAAAAAGCAAGGATATTGAAGAAGAAATAAATGCAGATAGACTCACAATTCAGTTTTCCTAGACTTTAAAAGAAGTACAATTGTCCTAAAACTATTCCTTAAAGAGAAAAGGAAGGAATGCTTCCAAACTCATTCTATAATTCTATTATTATTCTCTCATCAAATGTGATGGCTTGTGTGCACATAAACACAAGCACACTTTGTATACAAATGCACAAACTCTAAACCAATATCCTTGAGGAACACAGAGACCAGTATCCTCATTACAATACTTATATGTCCAATTCAACATTATATTAAAAAGTCATGTACCATGATCATGTTGACTTCATTCCGGGGACATATGTTTTGCTAACCTTGGCAAATTGATAAATGTAATATACCACATAAATTGAATCAAGGGTAAAAATCTCAGGATTATTTCACTGATGCAGTAAATTCCATCAATAAAATCCTGCATACAGGGGCTGGGGTTATGGCTTAATGGTGGAGTGCTTGCCTCATAAGGGTGCACCACTGGGTTCAATTCTCAGCATCACATACAGATAAATGAATAAAAAAAAGATATATCACCAACTAGAAAATATATATTTTTAAAAATTCTGCATACATTCATGACAAAAACCTAATTACAGAAGGAGAACAGTGATTTGGATCATGGACTTTGACTGCCTCTGTGCTATAGCTACACTGCTGTAGGAAATTTCTGTGTGATGAAGCAGGACAAGTTTGCCCAGTTGCTATGGCGATGCCTTGCCTGAGGAAATTCTTTGCAAGGCATGGGACTATGAGTCTTGACTCTAAGTTCAGACACCAGCTGCCAGAGATAGAGAATCATAAGCATAGCAAGATAATTGTAATTGATTGTGAGTGCTTTGACCTGTAAGCCTGCCTCCTTTGAGGAAACTTTTCCACAGAGAGCCTTTTGATGATAAAACCTATATAACAAACCTGTTGAGCTAGGTACGGGTCATTGGTTCTCCATCATAGTATGGTGTCCCATGTGTTTCTAGATTTCTCTCTAAGTGTCTGTTTGTTTTTCTTCGTCTCCCATTGCCCTTTGCCATACTCTAAAGTTCAGCCATGTAGGTTGTGGCATTTGGCTCGCGAGCAGGACACAGGGGGAACTTTATGGATTAGGTGAGGGTACACTCCTGAGGAATCACATCAGTTAAAGAAAGGTAAGGACTTCAAGTGTATAGCCATACCTATAGGTTCCAAAGAGAGGAAACTTTGTGTACAAATGCTTAAAGTAATGTTTAAATCTCAAAGAATGAAAACAAAGAAGCAAAAAGGGGTCTCCAGAGAAAACATAAACTATAGCACCACACCTTAAGATATTGGTTTTGCAATAGAAAAAAATGGCTAAAATGCTCTATGCATGAGGTTTTCCTCTCAAACTCAAGACAGCAGCTCTCCTTACTTCTTAGCTTCTTCCAGATATCTATCTCTCCTGGGATTGCATTTGAAATGTAAATTGAAGAGGCAATGATTCAAAACCTGTTTGAGGCCAAAGGAAAAAAGTGTCACTTTTAGATTCAATTGCTGTGGGGCCTAAATGGCTGGCTCTATCTCCTCTCACTCTCTACCATTCTGCTTTCTTATTGAATTCCTCCATAAATACTATATCACAGGGAGAAAAATGGGAAGATCTCATATATACAAGTCTTCTTTACTTGAGGATTTCAATTCTTTCACATTCTTTAAATATCAGGATTGACTGTAATCTGATGCCAAAGTACACTCTGATCTGATAAAGATGTTCTGCATCTTCCTTTACTAGAATAATTAATGGCTGTGTCTTCTTTTTTTTTTTTAAACATCTTTTTTTCTAAAATTGTACATTTTTGAGCTCATGGTTTTATGGTGAATTCACATTTGATCCTTCATGCCTAAATTAGTATATTTTCCCAATCAGTCCTGTATCTAACTATAGAGAATTTTGCACTCTGTCTTTGTTCAGAGGCTAACTTTTCAAGAGTTGATTCTTAAATTCATTGGGAAATCTCTTTTCACTAAATCCTAAATGGTAACTGACATGGTGGTGTTGGGAATAAGTCTGATAGCTACTGGAGATAAGTGGCCAACTGAACATTTGATTTCTGTGTCTGCCACAGCTGTCAGGCTTTACACCTAATATTTCCAAGTATAGAGGATCGCCCTATATTTAAGACATACTGTAAAAGTCTGATAGGCTCCCTTTTAATTTCTTAAAGGTCATATCTAATAGAGGTTTTAATAAACCTCCTACCGGTGGGGGTCTACCTGTTGCCTCCTACCTGTAGGAATCTACCTACAAAAAGCTACAAGATATTTGTTTCATGTCTGTTTTGTGTATGTGTGTACACCTGTGTATTGTATTGTTGTTTCTACATATGTGCTTGTGTCCATTTATCATGCACATTGTATCAAAATTGGCATATAGATAAATGAGCATTCATAAATTAAAATTTAAATAAGAAAATGATTCAAATACCATGTGACTTAAAAAAAAGAAGTTCAATTTAAATTAGGTAAACCGATGAGAGTAAAGATGTTTTTAAAATTACTAACTCAAGTTTTTCTAAGTGGTCAGACAATAAAGTGTTGGTTTCTGTAAAATGTCTAAAATGTAATATTGATTGTTCCTAGGTTTTTTCTTCAATAGCGAATTGATGGCTTATACTGTTAACTACACTGGTCTGATATCCTGGATTTTACAGTTAAAATTAGTAAATTAGATTACAGTAGATGGAATCAATCTTTATACATGTGTTTGTTAAAGAGGAGACATCTGAAAATTCCACAGGGGAATATATTTAAACATTATATGAGTTTTCATAAATCAGTAAGTTAAAAAAGGTTTATATTGATTTTTTTCTGTGTCTTCAGTAAAACAAGTGTACTAAGAATTAAGATTCTACCAGGTATAATTTTATATACAAAGAGTTCAAAAATTTCAATTAGGTTTTAATTAAGGTACCATAAAAAACAAAATATTCCATTTTATTAAAGTAGAGTAATTTGTCTAAACTCAGAAGTTTCATAAGGACTGTTTTAAAATGTAAATTTAAAAGAGGGGTCAAGAGCTAGAAAAGAGATATAAGGAAAGCTCTAGGTGTAGAAAGATTTTTAATATGGAAAGTAGAAGGAAAAAGAAATGTTTCTGGATAAGAAAGTCTTTTGTGCGGTAAAGTAAAATGTAAAGTAAAAAGTTGTAAAATGTCTTCGTATTTTACGTAACATTTGTAGAGCGTAAATTTCAAAAGGTTTGTGTGCAACTAAATTGGCTATATATAAATAGCACAATCAGTTAAAGTTATCCAAGGTTTTTCCCGAGTCTAATATTAATGTTTGATATAAACTAAAGTTTAATCCTCTGTGTGTTAAAATGATAAGGATTTCTTAAAACATTAATCTGTTTTTATCTATCAAGATAATTTCTTATGTCTGTAAAGTTTTATGATTTAGAAAAAGTAGTCTTAAGGGAATTAGGGTTTGTACAATTCTAGTTAAACAACAACTGTTATTTTAGAGTATTATACTCTATTATGTGCTCCCCATCACTAACACTTTGGCACAAAATACCTTAAGAGTCCTCTGAGATCAGGAGTCTATTGATAATAAATTTGAAGATAAGTTGAATGCCTTACAGGCTACTATAGTTGGCTTGGAGTCTAAATTTTTCTTTAAAAGCTAAACTTGGTAAATTTAAAAACATCAGTGTAATTGTGGTGTTGATACTGGCCTCTTAGAATACTAAATGCATTCATATCTTCCAAGTATATAAATCTTTTATGATAAAGTTCTTAAAGGGACATTTTCCACTCTGTTTTTTTTCAAACTAAAGTTTAAAGTAAAGATTTGGAATCATAAAAGTTATATTTCTCGGGTCATAGTTATTATAAAAATTCAATATGAGTTTTATCTTGTTAATTTCATTTGTATTATCATTGTAAACTTTATGACTGTTTTCTGTTAGTGCCTCCCAGAAGTCTAATTTCTAAGCTGTTGCCCATCCTGGTAAAAAATTGCTGGTCCCTTTGTCCTTGTTATATTTATTTATTTTGTATTTATCTCATTCTCGTACTCATGTCTTCTTGTTTCTCTCATAGAAGCACTCACCTCACAGATGACTTTACAGCCTGTTTTTTTTTTTCTGAACCAGACTTTCACCATATATCCCTCGACTGGCCAAAACATTCCTAAAAGGAAAACCCAAACTGTCTTCCCCACTTTACCTCCTCTCAGCCTGAAGCAGCCAAAACAGTCATCGCTCATTTCCCCTTATAGCCATAAGAGTTTCCTACTCAGAAGTGAGAATGAGACTGGGACAAGGGACATGTAACTGATTTTTTTACATT